AGCCCCTATGCCAACAATGACATCAGCAGTTCTGGTGCCCTTGTCACTTTTGTACCCGTCGCCTTCAGCCCATTTTAACACGACTCAATTGCTTGTGGGTGATGGATCTATACAAGCGTATACAATAGAGGACGTGATGACACATTTGTTAATTAGAGTAGGGGCACATATCTGAGTAAACACAATCTTTTGAGACCAGCACGGTGATATTGGCACAGTGGTTATACATGGTTAGCATGTCAAATCTTGGGTCTGGCCCTCCAATGTGGAATTTACATGATCTCCCCGCGCTTCCATCAGTTTTCTCCATGTACTCCGGCTTCCTTGCGCACTATATGGGTTGTTTAGCTCAGAACAGGGAGGCTATGAAGTGGGGAAAAAAAAACTACAATGGGTCCTCAGTTTTTGACAGAGTCCCTTTTCCATGGTGGTGGCATGAATTTATGCACAAGTCAGGATATGCCTTGTGTATCTTTAAACTTTTATAGCTTGGTATTGAGTGATAATTACGGAATGTATTTGGATGACACATTTTTGGAACCATGTAAACCAAAGGACCCCTGTATGGTTTGCATTTGTAGACTACTCCTCTTTCTCTGCCTGCAGAGTGAATTTCTATTTGCCACAGTGAGTCACGTGCTCACCTTAGATTCACCTTGTTGAAAGATGAATCACAGTGCTCTTACTACCGCAATCAGAGAAAACGTGACTTTAGAGATATGTGCTCCCGGCCGCTCGTGAGTTATGCCTCTCTTTTTCCCCGTGATGGATTATCCACCCGCTACAATTCTTGAAGAAATGTAATAATCATGGGAAAGTTTGAAAAAAAAGGCACAAAGTGTACTCTGGTGTACCTTGGCGTTGACAGGCCTGTAAATTGTCTGCATTCCAAATCAAATCCATATTTTTTTTTCTTTGTTCGTGTATTCAAAAGCTAAGTTTTCCATTAAAATCAATAATATTTAGAATAGTTTATGCCAGTGTCAAGATAAATTTCACAGTTTTACACATTATAATTCCCATATTTATGAAAGAGAAGCTTTACACTTTTTGGAGAGTCTGTGACGAAGCTGTCGAATCCGGGAAAGGTTATTTAAATGTTGAGCGACGCAAAAAGAGAAAGTAATTGGATTCCGAAAAACCAACATATTGTAACCCTACTAAATTCTTGGGGAGGGCAACTGATTTTACTTCGTCCTTTAAACACATGTTAACAGTTAGCTTTTTTTTTCTGCAGTAAACCAGCCCGCCAAAAATGTACCTTATTTGTGTTACTTTTTTAATGAAATGCAACATGCAAAGCACATGAATTTATGGGACTTGTGTGTATTCTTTGAATACTAATAAACTACCTCTAAAATTTTAGTGGTGCTTGAGCTCCCACAAAAATGGGCTGCAACGTCTGTAAAACTACCGTTTGCCATAAATTAGCACAAGAGTTCGAATTATTGATTTATTTATTTCACAAAATCATTTGCGACCCTTTTTTTTGTCTTATGTTTTGAGGCACTGTAAAATGAATCGATTATCGATCCTTGTACATTTTCTAATGTGCCTCCCCTTCTCATCTCAGCAAATGAGGAAAAGAGCATGCCGGAGGACGTGTTAGGGAGCAGGTGGGGGCGAAGGATACGTGATGGTGGAAACAAAGCTGTCAAATTATATGATGAGGAAAAAAGATGAAGCGTGTCTTCTAATTACTCTCCTTTGACAACCACAACTTCACACAGCTCGCTTGCAAATCCCTCATTATCTGCATGCGGGAAGAACAATCAAAACCGCGGTGAGCGAAATCTTCCCTTGGCATGCTTTTATTTCTTTAGTCAAACACAGTCAATCGAAAAGCTAACACAAGCCTGCTCACTAAGCGTGTGCATCAGAGGGAATTCTTCTGTCCAATCGATGAGGTTTTCCGCCGAGTCACTTGAAACCATCGAAAGTCAAGGGCAAACCTTTTTCTGATTCAGTCTAAGCAATGTACAGTGATGAGTTTAATTCGATGAATGGAAATGCCATTATTTCCCACCCCCCCCAAAAAAAAATGCTTTTCATTAATTTTCATAAAAATAACAGTAAAAATCTACAGTAAATACATACCTGAATAGAATGTCATGAAATTAAAAAGTGTTATTCACAATTTTTTGCTATAAATCACTAAACATTGTGCTGCTCCTTCTGGTCCATGAGCCTTGGCCAGAGACGGCGGTGGTCACAACTCAATAATCTGCAGTAATATGAGTCATAATATTTTCAAAAAGGATAAGGAATATATACCTGTCAGTATTGTAATATTGTTGGTTTACATGTGTTGCACAACCGATTGCATCCAAAAATACCAATGCTAAGTGGTATATTGCCTTGAGATACACTAATGCTATTCATTCGCTCATTGATGGTGTTTTGCATTGTCTGTTAGCTTTAAGCAAAACATAAGACTACCTGTAGAGTAGCCGAGGCAGGGTGAGCAGTGGCTCGTGTGCATGAGAAAGCACCACCCCCTCAAAACAGGCTGATTAAAGTACGGGTCAAAAGACGGTCAAATGAAAACATTTGACAGAAGTGTGTCACGGACATCTGGGAACTGGAAAAAAAAAAGGCTGGTTTGATATCCCCCCCCGCCCCCCACACACACTAAACTTGGTAATAATGATATCTAATTAAAAAGTGCTTCCATGTTGCTAAAGCATCTTGTTTCACAGCTGCTGTTCATCCTGAGTCATGACACACTTTGTTTTTGGAATACTAGCATGGTTGCTGAAAATACACACAGGTGTATGGGGGCTCACTGCACCACCGCTTAAATAATTCAAGCAATGTCCTCACCCCAGGGAAGCTCACTGAAACCAACATGGCTGATTTGAGCCTTGTGAAACAAGCGTGAGCAATCAGAGCCCTGCGTCTTCTCACTCAAGCGCTCGTTGAGTGACATTGAAGGACATGCGTTGCAATCAACAGTGACCATGTGACGCTGCCATGCGTTTTAACAGGCCACACACATCAGTTTGACACGCACGTGGAACTTTATACACCAGCTTGAGCCCATTCAATTCATTATCAATTTATTTTTGTGTCTTGGGGTGTGTATTGAAAAGTATTATTAAACTTTTTTCAATTTCCTTTTCCATTAGTTCTATTTGAGATGCAAACAGCGGCACTGCTTCTTTAATCATATTGTGCATTCTCCTCATCAGTGCACATTCAAGTCAATGTGAAACTCCCATGAGGAAGAATGCTAAATTTTACCAGAGGACATGCTTAAGTCTGTCAAAAGCTCTCATTTCTTCAATGGCATCCATAGATTTTTTCCATCCTTCCATCCTGCATCGATTCATCTGGCAGAGACCAAACACACTCCCATGGCTGTCTCAGACTTCTGGACTCCGCCGATCAAAATTGAAAGTGGGGCTGCATGAAATGATCCTGAAAACTGAGTCAACAGAACTCATCCAATCAATTTTACCAAGCACTGAGTTGTTGATTAAATCAGCACATCCCTATTAATAATACAGTAATTACAAAAACAACTGCCCAATAGCATGCTGAAAATCTTGTCAGCTTATCGTAGCTGACTTAAGGGCACTGAAGGCCAGCCAATCACATATAAATAGACAAATAAGTATTCAAATTCGCACCTATGGACATTCTGGGGTGAGGCAACCGTGCTAAACACTAACCACAGTGCTACCCACTCCAAAAGCCTGAAAATGGATTGACCAAGCTCACATCAACACATCAATTAATCTCACCCAAAATGTTGCACTAAATTCAATTGAACGGATGGTTAGCTTTAAGTCATGAAGTTAACTTATGAATTTATGGGTGCCATGTTTGGCAGGAGAACTTGCAAACTGCATTTGTGAATCTATTCCATTCTCAACTTCTCCACTTCATCTAAGTTTGAACTCTTTTTGTGTATCCTTTTAACTGTATGTTTGTCATAAATAAGCGGCTCATGTGGTCTGTAAGTGTGACAGCTGCTTCTGCATGAGTTAGGAAAAAATTGTTCACTGCATTTCATGAGTCTGCTGCATGCAATCACAAGTTCTTATAATAACATGGGACTCGGTATTGAACTCTGTGGGACATTACTTGCGATAGGCACTCTGAATTACCAGAAATATAGGAATACTTTGGGGAAACGTGTAAATCTACATTTACAGTGTCAGATGCTGTATATTGATTTCTTACAACCCCCCTCATCCTTGTGTTGTTTTTCAATCACAGATGTTATCATCCTAATGAACCATGCTAATGAGCAAGATGGCTCTCAGCAGTTCCTAAGAGCTTTTATGGAGGGAAATATTATGCACATTTTTAATTTGGGCAGGTTGCCATGATTGCACAGTAACTTGTTAGTTTATATTTTCTAGTGCAGTGTTAAGAAAAGCACTGTTTGTCATAAGACATTATGAATCCACACTGTTTCAGGTGCATGTATAACAAAGGGAAGGGGGAGAAACAAAAAGCTTTTCCACCAACTAACTCATGGTTGCTTTATTTAGACTCAGTTTGTTGGCTCCTGGTGCATGTAATGAAAGCCATCTGCGTTCCATTTTACGCCGCTCCGTAAAATAATAAAAATGTCCCCAAGCAGCTTGGCCGGCAGCCTCATCCTCATCATCCTCATCGATCTGCCTGCGTCTTTACTGTAATCTGTTCCTACATCCGTCTTCAGTAAAGTGGCAGCTAAATACAGGAAGTCAGCTTCCAAGGATGCTGTTTGACTGGACGCGTTTATCATCAAGATCCCATGTGTCAATCAAATTGTGGAATTTGCAACAACAAAAAAAGAACAACAATTTTAGAAGGGGGCAAATACTTCTTCACATTGCAGATAGGTATTTGCTTCTGACAGAGAAAGTTTGCCGAATTAAATATGCACAAGCTGGCCTCCATTTTCTCTCTGATTATTTCAATAGGAGTGTGTGATGTCCACTAGAGGGGAGTGTGGACAAGTAACAGTTTGCTAATGAAAGTGTGTCCCCTCTTTTCTCTTTAAGGGCCAAAGTGTTTCGGGGAAAGAAGATTTTTGGGGAGTATGACATCAAAGTGGAGCAGGTACTATAATCCCACTGAAGGGACAAGACAATTGCTATTACAACATCTATGTCAACAAACATAGTAATAATAACACGAATAATACTAAAATAATAATAAAATTAATACTAATAATAATACATACAATACAATACAATACATGCTGATTTATATAGCGCTTTCACAACAGCTGCAGCTGTAACAAAGTGCTTAACAAAACAATAATAAATCATAATTGTCATTATATTGAATACAAAACATTAATATGAAAACAAAAAAAAATGCTTTGGGGGAGTGGAGCAGGTATTGAAAAGGATTTAAAGAACATTTACCATATTTTATTGGAATTAAAATATCTTTCTAATAAATACAGTATATATATATATATATATATATATATACACACACACACACACACACACACAAAATGTATTTTAAATTAAATATAATAGTGAATTTGATATGTATAATTCTATATATATAATTATGTTAGACAAACTTTAATGTTAAATATTTTAATTATGTTTTGATCATTGAAAATCTTTAAATTGGTTTGTTGCTGATGAAAACTAATGAAATAATATAATTATGTTAAAATAAAATATAAATGTTTTAGTCCTTCACAGGAATTGTCGTAACATTTTCAAAACATTTATTGCACATATTTTTCCTGCAAGTACACAAAAAAAAAGTAAATGTAATTTGTGAGAGCCTATGGGTTGAATCACTAAGTGAGCTAACGATATGAGGCCTTAAATCGGTGTTGTTCTGCTTCCCCACACAATACAGTAATTCATGATGAATTATGTCTACAGTCCGTAGCAAAGTATAACGTTGCTCTCATCTCAGTCTTACCGCAATGTGTGTTAATAATTTAAGTTCATTTTGTCTGCTGTCTCCCTGCAGGCCGAGTTCTCGGACATCAACCTCATTGCACATTCAAATGGAAGTTGCACCGTGGACATGCAGGTCATCAGAGGCGGTGTGAAAACGGCCAGGTGAATACCACGCACGCATCAAATCATGAGGATCTTAGATGTGCACAGCTTAGATAGTTTCCCCCCTCGGAATCCTGCTGGTGGTAAAGCATGTCTTAAGAGCCCACTTCTCTAACCAACACAGGAAATGAGGGCACCAGTACTGCAATTATGTTTTGTGGCTGCTTGGTATGCACACGCACACTCTGTTTATGTTGAGTAGAGGTAGAGAAATGTCGAAGGGTGCGGGAAAAAGGGGCTTTGTTGGAGCAGAGATGAACCTTTGCACATCAGTCAGTCAAATGTAATGATTTTAAACACAGATTTGAGTGTAAATTATCTCTATCTATCTTACTATCTAGTTAGCTAGCGAAGTAGCTAGCTATAGCTATATATCTATCTAGCTAGCGAGCTAGCTATCTGTCTGTCTATGGAGCTATCAAATAGGACTCAACCAAGGAACGTCATCTAATTGGCACTAAATATGAACCATGTAAACATTTTTTTGGACAAACACAGGGCTGATAATTCCAAGTCATCAACGGGACAAAATAAGCGTCACATTTCAAATGCTGACACTTCCTCTAAAAACTCTAGTTAGCAGGCTCGAGATGGAGGTTTTGGGTGAGAAAAGCTGTGTCGGAACAAACAGTCAATTGTTTTCCACTGGTGTCACGTTGTTAATAACATAACACAAACAGCGCAAACAGATGGCTTGAAATCAAAGTCCTTTGTTTGCAAAAAGTTGGACAGTACTGGCTCAACCTCCAGTCCTGTCAAGAAAGCGGGAATTAGAACTCAAGGAGAAACACCCCCAAATAAGCATCTTCTTCTCATATTCTTCTTCTTCTTTTACTACTGTGTTTTGGAAAAAAAGTTTTCCAATAAGCCCAAGGAAAAAAGCTAAACACACACAGAATCAGTCCTTTGATGCTGGCTGAAATGAGGCTTAGTGCGGTGCGGTTGTTATGACATTTCAAGCCGGTTTTATTCAAACTCCAAATTGTCCATTTATTAAGGCATTCAACTTTGCCTCACCCTGACAAAATTCTCGCCAAAGTCCTTAACCATGATCAGAAGGAAACTGGAATGACCTTGCGCTTGTTGGTCACATCTGATTAAAATGTAGGTCTGCCCTTTCCTTCTCGTGAGTAATGAAGAGATTAGGCTGTCCCGTTAATTGCTGTGTCCTCTCCAACGTCCACTTGAGGTTCCTCCGTGTGTCTGATTAGTATTCTCGATGCACAAATAGCTGGTGATGGTCACACCGTGTGAGACGTTTTCTATCCCTGTATTGATTTTTTAGCCAGACTGCTCTTTTAAGCGTTGTATTTGTTTATTTATTATTAATATGCCTTCATTTGGTGCACATGTGGAGATAAATGAAGAAAGAACAAGAGAGCCGTGCTCAGTCGACATTGACCTGCCGCTGAGTTTAGCTTCCATTATGAGTGATTTGATTTCATTCTCCACACAGACTGCAGAACACCGTGTAGGAACCTGATTGGACAAAATGAGGCGGACAGAGGAAAAATTCAGAAATGTTTCAGTGGGGTGGACATTTTATTTCCTTAATCCACTTGTGGGGAAAAATAAAAATCAGAAATTGGTTTCTACATTTGCCTCACTTTTTGCATTTCTGTGTTCAAATCTTGGTAGCCAGTGACAAAAATTAGTTTGACTCCCTTGTCTTCTTTGTTTTAAAATCCTAACAAAAAGTATAGGTCACATCTGATTAGCCTAAACATATAAATAATTCCCTTGAATTTTCGGTAAAAGTTGTCCAAAATTTTATTCAAAATGAAATGTTAATGTTTCGCTCAGTTTTCAATCAAAATGAAAACGTTCAAAAAAGTTAACAGAAAATGTGAATCTGCATTACCCTGAGGTTTACTCAATTAAAAAAGATAATTGATCAATGCCTTGATCGGTCATTCTAAACAGATGAGTGATGTTAAGTCACAAAAATTTGGAGTTTATCTTCATAGTGTATGGGCAAAGTATGCGTCCCAAATTTGAAGACTTGCCATAAAACACAAAACTCTTTTTTTTTCTTCTCCCATTTATCACATCTATTGCCAACAGTACAAAATTTCATTCTTCACCTCTTAATTTCCTTGTTTCTTGCCCCATCAGATCCTTTAGGCCAGACTTTGTCTTGGTCCGCCAACATGCCTTCAGCATGGCCCAGAACGAAGACTTTCGAAACCTAATCATTGGACTGCAGTATGCCGGCATCCCCTCCGTCAACTCACTGGACTCCATCTACAACCTCTGCGATAAACCCTGGGCTGTAAGTCATTTTAATAGCCTTACATTTGCAGCAAACAGACATCAACAAAGAAATTGGCATTTAATAGCGAGAATAAGAGGAAGTATACAAATATGTGATTTTTTTTTTTTCTGTCCTGGGGAATTAGAGGAGTGTAATGTTCACATCAATAAAATTGTGTTATCATGCCGCTATGCCATGAAGCAATGGAGATAGAATGGACTTGACTACACGGCCGCAATTGTCAGAGGAGAGGCTACTGTAGTTTGCTGCCTAAACGGGCTGTTGCAGTGACTAAAACAGGAATTAATCAAGTAAAAAGGTTATGTTGGACCGTCTCAAGCCTCTTCTATAGAATTTGGGCACTTTGTGAGCATCAGCAGTTAACCCAACACAAGTGAGAGGCGCAGTTAGCCTTGCTAGCTAGCTTTGCCCTCTCCCCGAAAACACATCTTACTTTCAGATCGTCTGCCGGTTAGAGTTCCACTGGGAACGATAATAGGGCCCCCATATGTTCAGATTTTAATTTGTGTATTTGTTCACCTGCTGGTGCTACGCTTCTTCATTGCAAGCATCGAGAATATTTTCACGACTTTTTGTAAACTAGTACAGTAATAAAAGGTTAAAATCTCAAACAAAATGTATTCACGAGTTCTTAGTTCACAGTTTATCATGCCCCCCCCCCGCCCAGACCTTGTCGTTTGTTTAATGTATGTTTTCCTTTATTTCTTGTCTTTATCTGCAGTTTTCCCAATTGATCAATAATCAAAAGAGGCTGGGTGCTGACAAATTCCCTGTGATCGAACAGACGTTCTACCCCAACTACAAGGACATGGTGAGCATTCCTATCTTTTTTTTTTTTTTTTATGATTTTGCAACTTTTTACTACTACATATGAAATGTTCTTGATCAGGTTTCTGAAGACGAAAAAAAAAACAAACCACCAGTCACTTTCAGTATTCTGCAATGACAGAAACATTTTGTAACCTTTTGGAGAAATCAAAAAAATGTGTTAGACAAGATTCCATTTCAACATTTTATATACAATCTTTTTTTTGGTACATGGAAATACAAAACAAAAACAGCACTATTTTGACAAAAACAGACATAAATACAAATCCGCAACAATTTCTTCAGTATAAAACATGCATTGTTTCATGGCACTTCACTAACACCATCCAGTTTATGATAATCATTTTGTGTTAAAAATTAATGCATGCCAAACAAATCATGCAACAATAATATATATTTGTAAAATTAGCATACTGAGCTGTAATACTTCATTGGTGGCTTAGGTGTGATGGTTAATGAGTCATACTGTATTTTTTATGAAACCAATAACCAGATCAGGGAGTTGACGGTATGTGCGGAAAATGTTATCTTTTGAAGTGTCGGACATTTAATAGCAAACATCATGAAATGAAAATGCTTTAAAGATGTCAAATTTAAGTCACATCTATCTGTATACGAAAGCTCTAAAAGTAAATGCCGTTAATGTCAAACATTTTAATGTTCAATGAAGTACAATATTTACAATCGCTGGAATTGTTCTCATACATAATTCCTATTTTTGATTTTCTATTTATATACACATTTTCATTTGCATGGGGAAGTTCCATTGTAACCGTAGTTAATTAGTCTGGCATTAATTGCGGCCCACTTGAAATTCTCTCTGCAAATCAGCTCAATGCCCGACATTTTTACATGACTAATAACCTTGCTGCCACACTGAATGTGTTAACTGTCAGCCACATGCAAATGATGAGAGGAGGACTCACTCTAAGATAAATTATTTGTGTGTGATTTGCACCGGCTGTGCCATCAGCAACTCTGTAGTCATTTGCGAAAAAATGACTTTTAAAAAGCTCTGGGAGTGCATTTAGTGGTTTGAGCTGACAAGAAGTGTTTAAAATGCGATTCATATGTTTACTAGGAGTTTATGCAATTAAGCCAGTTGATGGCAAATTTGACTTGAGCAGCAGCTTTCTGAACCAGCTGAAGAGACTTTAGAGACTGCAGCAGCCTGCCAACGCGAGTGAAAATAATCCAGCCTGGAGGTCAGAAAAGTATGTAATGGATTTTCTGCAACAGGACATTTCAATTTTGCGAATGGTGGCTGTTTACAAAAAAAGGACTTTACAAATGCTGGTCTTTTGAGACTTGTTGCCGCTGCCTGAACATAGAGGGTTTCAAAAATCGAACCGAGAAGTCAGACAAACATTCATTTGTTTTTGTGGGATAGGTAATTGACATTTGCAACGTTCAGTAGCTGATCAGTGGTTGTTTTAGCGGCGGCTGCAACCTAATTTTCAGAAAATGACTTTTAAAGGCTCTGGAAATATAGTCCTGTAGTTGCTAAGGGACCACAAGCTCTGAACAGCTTTTAGGGTGACAAGATGCATTTTAGATTCTCTTCTAAAATTGGAGCTCTTCTCCTTGTTGTATTCAGCTTGAGCAGCAGCACTCAGAACCAGCTGGTCCACGTGACTTTCCAGAGTTAATACAGTATGAAGAAAAGCAAGCGGATTTATGAGTCAATTTCTGCAATGTCCAATGGCAGCACAGTATTTGTTTTAGCAGCAAGTGTAGTAAAATTTGCAAAATTATTATGTTAAGCCCGTGGAAGCTTAAGGCTGTCGTGGGTTTCTCAAATGCAAGCACGTTGCTGAGGCAATTTGAGCAGGAGGAATCAATACTCAAGCAGCGGTGTTATTGTTAGCTATTCTTTTAGAGGCTTTGACTGACTATAGATGGTCAATATAATCTATTGCGGAAGCAAGCAGATAGATTTCTGAAGTAATTTTGATTTTTTAATGTTCACTGGCAGCATAATTGTTCTAGCAGCAGTTGTTGCATATTTTGTGAGAAAATGACATTTAAAGGTTCTGGGAGTGTAGGGTTTTAGCGGATTCATAAGAATTCACAAGCTTTGAACATTTTGAGCTTTTTTGATTCTATTCTAAATTAGTGTAGTTAAGCTACAACAAGAGGAATGTAATATCTTCCTTTTTGTAATCAGCACTCCAGCAGCACCAAACCTAACCAGCTGGTGGTTCAAGGCTTTTTTTTTTTTTTTTTTTTTTTTTTTTTGCAGCCTGAGCATAGAGAGGGAAAATAATTCAGCCTAGAGATCACAAAAGCGTCCACTTGTTTTTCTGCATCAGGATATTTCGATATTGCGATATTAAGTAAATGAAACCAAGCTCTTCTCGGAATTAATGTATAAATCCTGGTCAACGGTAATGCCAAGCTTTCCTAATGCCTCTGCACATTTTTAAAACCGCTTTGTAAAGATTATTCAATGAAACTTTAATTAGCATTGCCGCAGCATCCATCTGGTAGCGGGAGCTCTTTCAGAAATGATATCAGCCCTGTTGCTATGTTACGCATAAATCATCCATATTTCAGCTATACGAGCCAAAGCAGGACATCCCTCTGACTGGAGGCATGACAGGAGTCAGACAGAGATGGAATCTTGAGACGGTCACGGGTCAGTCATGTCCAGGAAGTCTTTCTCGGGGGCATGGCCGCCCCTGTACCAGCCACAGGTCGTGTCGGAGCGACGAATGCATGCGTACTGCCGTGCCTGCTCGCCATTAAGGCTGTTATCCAGCAACCAGTCCGTCCACAAGCATTCGTTTTCTCCCGTGGATGCGCAGGGCACCGTGTAGCACACGTTGATCTGCCGAAAAAAAGGCATTTTTAATTACACCGGGTGAAAATGCGGCAAATGTGGTGGCGATTAGTGGTAGCTGGTTAAAGTAAAGCCTCTCCTTGCTCAACAACATTTAGAAACATTAATTCATGCCTTCACTACATCTCGGCTGGATTACAGCAATGCATTTTATTTTGGAGTCAGCCAGTCGTCCATCAAGTGCCTCCAGTTGGTCCAAAATGCTGCTGCTCGCCTCCTAACTGGTGCACACAGGAGGGAGTACATAACTCCAACTCTGGCGTCCCTTCACTGGCTCCCTGTATATTTTAGAGTTCATTTTAACAATTCTTTTATTTGTCTTTAAATCTTTAAATGGTCTTGCCCAACCATATTTCAGTATTTATTTGTATTTATCGTGCAGTTCAATTAGACTGTATGTAACCTTTGACCGTGGGCAAGTAAAAATAAAAGAAAATCAATAGTTAATAACAATGATATTGGTAGGATGATACACAAGTATTAAGAAAACTACTTTCAGTCATAGTTTCTATTTCCTGAGCCAATGACAGATATGAATATTCATGCAGGAAGAATGAAAAGTCCTGACTCACTCTGCATTCACAGCCCATCTGGTATCTGTAGTTGAGATTTTTCCTTTGTGAGAGTGATAAATTGTCCCAGGACTCCACCAGGTCACACTGACCAATGGAAAGCCGCCCGTCGCTCCACATGCTTCCTGTTAAAAGGCATTGCAAAACACAGTGATTATTTCAAGTTAGGCACAATAACAATGATCAATAGCAATTTTTAGTCAGAGATGTTTTTATTTGTCCCTAAATATATTTTGGATTTCAATCATAGCTTTTCTTTTTTTCTAGCACACCAAGTTTAGCAGATATTTTCATTTTTGTTTTTAAATTTGACCTATAAAGCGTGCACAAAATGGATTTTACCATACCTTCCTCATTATAACTAAATACAAATTATTATTATTCATATTATGAAAATTTGATGTGTTGGAGAAACGGCAAAGCCAGATTTTGAATCAGCACAAACAAAAAATCCACTATAAAAGTTTCCTTGCATCTCTGATTAAAAAAAAAAAAAAAAAAGTTAAAAAAAATGTTGCCTGGTGTAACCAGCAATGTTCATACCTGAGAGCAGATACCCTGCTTTGTTATTGGAGTCTAATTTGACTCCACACAGCGAGGAGAAGACTGGGGTGTACACATACTGGATATCCTTGGCCTTGTCGAACCCTTTGAACATCTGGCACATTTGGAGAAGACGCAGGAGAGGGTCAGGATGGTTGTGCAGGATTACCATGCACTCCACATATTGGACGCTTTTTCATTTCTAAATTGGTATGGCAACGCTAGTACAGGCGGATTGAAAAGTAGTAGCATTGTTAACCAGCTGGTCAGAGCTTTTTTTTGTAGCAGCCTGAGAATACAGTTACTATCATGCAGCCAAAAGCATGTTGGTTTTTTTGATGCAATTTTAATAATGAGCAGCGGTAAAATAAATGATTGAGCCCCTAAAGGCAATTTGAATTGGCAACATGAAGTTTGTTATTCATGTCAGTCGACCCACAAAAAAAAAAAAAAAAAAAAAAAAGAAGAAGAAAAGAAAACATGCTCGAGAAGACACAGAAAGTCTGCCATTTTGGCCCTAGGTGGCCATTTCCTTCTGGGTCATTTTCCCCCATTTTTTCAGGGCCTTTGTCCAGTTTCTACCAAATTGAAAGCACTCATACTTGACAGAAAGGCGGCACTAAATTCGGTTAAAAATAACTTCGTTATCGTGCATGGGTGGAGCGTGGTGGCAAAGATTGGCAACTCGCCATAAAGCACGACCCAGCCCCACACTATTGTGTGTACCATACATACATTTTTTTGGTGTTATGGGCATACTGTAATGCAGTGTACCGTCATTGTCCCGCTCCATTATGTTTTATATTGAGACAGACTTTGTAGTCTATTCTGACCGGGTATGCCGCAATAGACCGATAAATCTACAAATAGGACATGCTTTCTGTAGTTTTACACACTGCTATAAAGCATGTATCGCCACGTAAGCATGGACTAGTCTACGGCACATCTCACCTTGATCATCTTTATTTCATACTGGATCATCTTCATGTAGGGGGAGGAGCTGTTGCTAGGCGACACAATCTTCTCCCCAGCAATTTTCGCCCTGATCACTGTCAGAAAAAAACAAGGGGCAGGGCTTAGAATACGGTTGAAAAAAATAAAGTGTTTTTTTTTTTTTTTTTTTTATGAACCCAAAACCCCCCCCCCCCTCCACTAGTTCTCCCACAGCCAAGCAGATGGTCCATCAAGATTTGCTGCGCATCAATAACACTGCAATATAAATCTTTTACTGGCCATGAAACTAACTCAGACTGTAATAGAGAATAATTCTAAAGCAGCAAAGTGGAAAAAAAATCAGCAACGGTCTCGGCTCTGAGCTTTAGTTTGTTTATGAGATCACATTATCTTGATGCTATGTAATGTAGCAGTGAAGGCAGTTTGTGACTGGCGCCGAAACGGGCTGCCAAACAGATTAATACAGGACTTAAACGGCCACATTTGGTGAATTGAATTGATCATACAAAATTTGACTTTTGGAAACCAAAAACATCAACATTTGAAAACGAAAAACATTTGAAATCGATATGGTTACCGTTCCCATCTGCATGCGAAAATATGCAATTGAGATCCAAACCGGATTTATGTTCTGACCATACATACACGTAGCAAATTTCATTCCTGACAAAGATAACACATAAAAATGTTCAGATTTTATATTTGTATGACACCAGCAATCAAAAATTCCCCCACATCCAAACTACCTGGTTACTTTCTGTTTTAATGCCGCCACAGCCTGATGAGGCAGCACACTCGAAGAATATCAAATATGGTCGCCTTCTACTACTTTCTGTCCTTTATGCCTTCTTAAAAATTTGATTCATTGGTTGATTTGTGAACAATCAGTCAAACAATAATATGCGGCAGTTTAAAGGCACTTCTTCGAGTATCTTATCATATCACTGAAAAATGACGATCACTCTGCTCTCTTAACCCACCCTTCCAATTGATCCTTAAAATAGTCTTTGGCAAATGAGCTGGCCTACTTAAATTTTCTCCCGTGAGCGCAATTGTGGCTTGATGCCACCTGTTAATGGTAAGTAGAAAACCCTGGCTTCGCATTGCCGTGTGTACAGATGAAATGGTTGGCAGCCTGAGCTTTGGCTGCAGCCAAATGTGGAAGGGATAGAAAGATTCTCCAAGCAATTAGCCAAAAAAACAGAAGAGTCAAGTGCTTTTCCGTCAGCATAAATGAGTGGATTCATGATGTGGAGGCCTCGCATACGCATAACTTGGAAGAATTGCATCTCTTTCAGGGAAGATTTGCTTTTGGATATTTAATGGGCCTTTAACAGACAGACGGCATACATTCCAGAGTAAGCAAATGTGAAGAAAAAGACAACTTTTGCAGTTATAAAATCAATGGGAGTAGAATGGAGTTTACATCTTGACAGCAACCAGCAGAGGGCACCGTCAATTCAATTTGCTGCCGAAACGGAACTGCCTGACAGGAAGTAAACAGTAGTTCCATCGGCACCGTTCTAAACTAAAAAGGTTTGAGTGTCGGGGTCTTGTTTTCAGGTCAGAGTAGTTTGTTGCATAAACGGGCTGCCACACAGAGTACAATGGGAACCAAATGGGCAGAAGTTTGGTGTGGGATTATTGTAAATAAAGTTTGAGAATATGTGTCAGATTTGCTGCCTAAACGGGCCGCCTGCCACAGAGGTTAAGCAGAAAGTAAACAGGCCGAAGTTTGGCGTGGGACCGTTGAAAACAAATGAAGTCTACGCACAGCTGAAAACGTTGTGCGGGACTCTTTTGAACCAATAAAATCCTCCCTGTTTTTATTTAGTGTGCATGAACTTCGCAACAACATAATATTGCAAACTTAGAAAACCATGAGAACTGATGTAGTAAAAAACATCCCTCGGCCCAGATGAATCGGCACCCTTGTCATCCTCACAAAGCTGCACTGTCAGTGGTCTTTCACACTGATATTGTTAGTATGCAGACCATTGGGCCCAGCCTATAGACATGGAAATGAAGTGGAAGGAAGGGGAGAGCGATGGAGTAAGCTGCCTTGGCCTCCGTCCAGCACACACACACACACACACACACACACACACACACACACACACACACACACACACACACACATGCACGCACACACATGCACGCACGCACACACGGACATAGCTTGGGATTCTTTCAAGGTTTGTACGGATGACATATTAGTCAGATGTTCGGCTTTATTCAAAAGGATCACTGGCTCTCACGACACTGTCAGGTCAACCGAAAGGCCGCCACCAGTCGACATTTAAAAAAAACAACCAGGATAGGGGAACCCCAAAGGAAATGTGTTCCCCCTAAACTGTTGTGTGCGTGCTTTGACAAATGACTTTGCACAATCTCTCTAAATCTTCCAGCGACCTGGGTTTTCTCCTTTGAACTCTCCTCTATAGCTGCCACCATAGAATTTCAATAGGGTTGAGGTCTGGGGACTGAGCTGGCCATGGGAGGAGCTTGAGTCTGTGTCGGGTGAAGCATGTCTACAATTTTCAGTATGAGAGTATGCTTCTGCAATAAAAATTGACATTGATTTGCAGGCTTTTAGCACATCTTAACCAGGTTGCCAAGAATTACGCCGGGTGCTGTGGTTTGCTTCACGGATTCAAGCAGTAAGCAAACAGGCCTTTTTAGCAGTATTCATAATTTCAATGAGGGGTACACATCGAAATCATGGGCATCGTCAGTGCCCTCATCGACCAGGAGACACCAACATTAATTCAGGCCATACTAGTTTACTGTCTAAATGGGCATGACCCCCCCCTCCCCCGAAACAACTCTGTCAAATTCTATTACTGTACTTCTTAATTGCAGTGAATTCCATGTGCTGTTAATATTAACATTGCTGCCCGCGTATTTGCGGCATCTTAATTGAAGTGTACAGAAATGTTCACGGTCTAATTAATTGCTAGATAATTACAACTTGCTTTGGACCTTCTGTGTGATTCATGCGAAGCTAACTTAATCATCTTATTTGAATCTTAAAGAATATTCATGATTTCATATATGTTGTAAAAGCCCAACATCTACAGAATCCTTAATTTTTCACCAAAAGCGTAACGTGAAATCGGCCACGTCACATCCGTTCCGAATCACTTTTTATTTCTCGTCAAGCACGGTGGCCACAAACAGGAAGTTATATAAGGCTGTCACGTGATCAAGCGCTGCTTTAGGTGCACCAATACACTTTGGCTTCCATCAATCACAGCGGAAGCATTTCAACCATGCTGGGAAAAAAAAATACTCCTCTGTCTTTGTCTCTCTCTTCTGTGCTCTCATAACCTAGATCCAATTTAAGCCCATGTGCAGATTTTTAAAAGCAGCTCTCAGCCTCAATTTTGCAACATATTTTGACCCCAGATACTAAAGCTTTCTGCTGAAGCCAAGTACTCAGCGGTGTTGGTTTTGGCTTGTGCTGAGAGGAAAAAAAAAAAAAAAAAGAAAGAAAGAAGAAAGTAAAAAGGGGGATTATGAAAGCCAGGCAACTGCACAAGTAGGGCAAACTATCGGTCACTTTTAGAGGATTTATTCTTTTGTGACAACTATTTGGTCACGTTAGTGTTCCGAGGAATATTGTTAACAAACAACCAAGATTTTATTGTCACTTGATTATAACCCTCGCATGAGCCAACATTTTGAGTTAAATAATGGAAAACGTATTTGGAAAGTGGAAAAGGACTGCACAAAGTTGTGTGTTTTTGATTCAAGCCACCTGTTGTTTTTATTTCCTACAATGTTTTTCCAGTCTGTGACCTAATTAAAAAAATAATAATAATACAATGCAAATTGTGTTTTAAGAAAAGAAATGAGCCTATTTGTAGAATTTAACCCATATTAGCATTATAAGGATCCAAGCGAAAACCACAGATCTCCTGACACCACATTTTTCCCCAAGTCTGAGGGAATGACAGTTTATTTTTGCAAACAGCAGTTTGGCAAAGTGTCTGATCCGCTATAAAATAAAGATTGGTAATTCCTGTGTTGGAAACAGGTTTAAAAATATTTGTGCATGTAACTTTTTGCCAAAATATAAAACGCATATATTAAAATTAGTGTGACAGTCTTTCGCACTTGTCATTTTTACCAAAAAGTTACCCATTTATCAAATATACTTAAATGCAACATTTGTTGACTGTATTTAGGTCTTAACTTTAGTACGCTTTAATCGGAGTAATTAAATTGTTGCAGCAACGCCAATAAGATCTCAAGATTAGCAACCCTCCCAGTAGCCTGACTGATGTGTGTTTTGCTTCCCTCTAATTGGGCTCAGAAGACAAATCAGTAAACAGTCTGAGGTCTGAGGGCTGTTTCAACAATTTTCTGCTTGAGCAGTAGCAAATGCTCTCCAACTCACCCGTCTCGGCGCTGCAGAAGAGCTGCTGTGGGTGAGCTGGGTGGCAGCTGCATGCGTCCACAACCGTGCCTGCTCCCAACAAGAGGAGCAACCAGAGCCCCAGACGCACAATCCTCTCGTGGGACACGGCCATGATGATACTCGCGCTGGCTCCCACGACTTAAACAAACCCTGTGCAAATCCTGTCAGGTTCCCTTGAAGGAAATTCAGATTTGAAGAGAAGAGTGGAAGTATTAAAAAAAAAAAATAGCTCCAGTGGGCCTCAACCCCGGGTGTCAGCAGCTGTAGGTAGGAATGATTTCAGAAGAAGAAGCTGCAATACCCTCCCTCCCCACTTTTTCTCTCTCTCTCCCGCTCTCTCGAGACGACGACACACGGACAAACTTACAATAGTTGGATCGCCTGGCACTCTGGTCATGAATGCTGAGAGGGTCGCGCACAGGGAGCCTCTTATGCACTCGACAAGTTAGGCACAGCCTCCTCACACTCACCAGAAAAAAAAAAACATGCATCCTTACCCACCACCTCCCCTCCTGTTTTGATGTCCTACCGCCTTCTTTCTTCTCCACGAGCATCCGTAGGCGTGTTAAATGTCGTCAAAAACGGACTAATTTGTTGCCAATAAAACTGTAATCATCTGCATGGCAAAAAGCAATAATTAAATAGATTGATGAGCAGGAAAACATTTGTAATCCAAAGCCTATCATATCACATGTCAAAAATGGTGCTGGCTGAGTTTTGACATGTAATTAGATAAAGGACGTGTGGATGGAACTCAGTTCAACTTCTTTCAGAATCCCCAAGATCCAAACCATACCACAAAACATCAAAGATTGTATATTGCTCTGTGGCCAAGTTAATCACCTGATCACAACCCAATCGAGATTTTTTTGGGGGGGAGATTGGAATTCTGTCTTCTTCCGTTGGTCCTTGTCTTCTTGATGTCTTACTGTTAAGTGAATTCCGTGCAACGATAACTTTCATTCATTCAACCATTCATTTATTCATTCATAGAAGAGAACGCAGAAAGACCTGCTAGCTAAGTTAGTTACCTGATCCCAACCCCATAGAGCGTGCATTTCTCTTCAATGAGAACAAAACGAGGGCAGTAAGATGGACATACAAAGTAGCAACAGAAAGCAAAACATCTCCAGGGTGTAAATACCCAATATGGTGTTTGTGGGCGCTATCCTTTTATATTTATCTGACTTTCTTGAAATACTTCTTCAAATGAAGGCACTCTGTATCTGACTCCCCTATTTTTCCAAACATCCACATGTTGCCACGGTGTTATTATTGCTTCTTTTGTGCACTGTTGTATCGTTTTTCAGATCACAACGCCAAGTTTCCCTGTCGTGGTGAAGATCGGACACGCCCACTCTGGAATGGGAAAGGCGAGTGATCCTTTAAGATGGACTGGCTTTTTGTTTTGACATCTGCCAACGTAGTCCTGTCACGTAGTATGTGTGAGGGGAGACGCTAATAAAGTCACCATCGAGCTGACAGACACGCCGTGTCAACATTCATCCTCTGACTACCGTTGACGGTGTTAAAACATTTCGAGCATACTAATAGACAGCGTGTGTTTCTCAGGTCAAAGTGGACAACCTGAGTGACTTCCAGGATATCGCCAGCGTGGTGGCCATCACGCAGACCTACTGCACGACGGAGCCGTTCATCGACGCCAAGTATGACATCAGGGTGCAAAAGATCGGCGCTGACTATAAGGCGTACATGTAAGTCGAGATACACTTATAAGTCTTGAATTCTGCCTTGATAGATCGGAGGTACCAATACTCATGAATTAACTTAAAATGGTTTGTAAGGTTTTGGTTTTTTTTTTTTTTTTTTTTTTTTTACACTGAGGGTGCACTATTGTTCCACTCACCGATTCATGTTTTTCTTGGTTGAGCATATTCGCTGGAAATTGCACCTATTTGAGGTGTTTGTGTATATGTAATGCCAAAGTGTGACACAGTGCATGAATAATGAATACCTAGCCCCAAATAGACGGCTTGTTTGTCTCAAAAACAGGTTGTTCCACGTGATTAGTGTAATCCCAGGTACTATGTGACATCTTATTGCAACATTAGTCGCAGGAGAACATGACACACATGCACTTTCACAGGAAACGTGGCATCTGTAAAGCTTACATGAGTGTGTAATAGGTATAAAACATTTTTGAAAATGTAATTTTACGAATATTATAGTATGAATTTGTACAAATGGCCAACTGCTTATATGTGACTTATTTTATTGGAGATGTTTATTGCATGACTCATTATAAGTGCCTCCTCTCTTTCCAGTTACCGGTAAGTAAATAAATGGCCACGGTAACAATTTTTTTTTTTTAAACTACATCAATTGTTATTGATTATTCTTACAGTGTCAATCAAAATAAGTGTCATTATCATGTAACAATTGCACTTGCTCTCATTAAAAGGCAGCAAGTGTGCCTAATGTTATGGCTGCTATTGGTGTGTGTCATGACATCATACATAATTGGAGCTGGCATTCACTAGAAATGTGACAGCGTTCCACTGTCCTACTCCTTTGCCAGGCGAACATCCATCTCTGGTAATTGGAAGAGCAACACGGGCTCGGCCATGTTGGAGCAAGTGGCCATGACTGACAAGTGAGCGCAGCGTTAGCGATGTTGTGGTGTGGTGTGTCTGGTTATGTCGCATGGAGTCACACCATCCTCTCACATTGTCCCGTCGCACGTTGGCATCCACCGCAGGTATAAACTGTGGGTCGACACCTGTTCCGAGATTTTTGGCGGCCTGGACATCTGCGCCGTCAAGGCCATATGCGGCAAGGACAGCAATGACTACATCACCGAGGTGAGCGAAACAGCGACAGGAATATTTATAAGCCGCTTGAGTGTATTTATATATTCTGGCTGGATGAAAATGTGTGTGGAGCGTCAGAGGGACAAGTATAGTCTTGGAAGCTTAATTTTGCCTCGTTTAATTTTGCCTGGCCTAATTTTACACCACTGGGACCAATAGGTTGACTGCCTGGGAGTAAACTGATTGAATTTAACCTCAATACAGTCTAAAATTCAATATTAAACATAAGAGACAGATTCTGGGTTTTTTTTTTCAGAATTTAAAACAGCTCCCAGGGTGTCTTAATCGCATTTCTATGACACACTTTTGTTAAAATATCCCAAGGATCAAGAACTATAATGCACTTTACACACATTTTTGCGTTGCTAAAATTAGCCATTTATTTGCTCACAAAAAAGAATATATGCAACCGGGATAACTGAAAAATCAATTGGCTCACACATGAAGGCCATAAAACCTTTGATGTGGCCATGAAAAGGGTAAAACCAGACCAAAGGAAAGCCCAGCACTGAGCTTAAAGTCATTAACAGGTAAACCAGCAGCAACGTTGGGGAAACCAGGTAAAGGTAAATTTGGTAAAGGAAAATTTGTGGAGAAACGAGGTGTGAAAATTGTAGGAAAATTCAGTTAAAGTAGAAGAGAGCAATAGCAGAAGAAGAACCTGAGCTCACATTGACACACAACGGCATCACACCCATATTTTGCGGATCACGAGTCACCTCATCTCCAGCCATGGCCTGGTTGCTGCAGTGACATTTGAAAGCAATGCATTCATCCTACATGAGAGTGTGTGTAAGTGGGAGGCGAGGAGGAGGCTTGACCTTTTCTTCTGTTATTTCCTCTCCCATCACTGTGTTTGTTTTTATGCTATCGTCTGAAAAAGAGGGACACTGATGGCATTTTTTTTCATGAGAACAATAGCGATTTATTTTTAAAATGGATTTTTGATATTCATTGTTTTACCAGGAAGAGTAAATATCCCTCGCATCTTTTTTTTTTTTTTTAATACCTCTGATCCTATTGAACGGTGCGGGGGGGCTGGAATCTATCCCAGCTGACTTCAGTTGCAAGTCATGTGTACCACAAATATGAACTCTTTCAATACGAGCCATGTGAAAGAAAAAAAAAGACAGAACCTGTTGAGTGGCGGCTAAGTTCAACATTCTGACCGATGATTCAGAGCTCACAAAATATTGTGTTTTATGACGACATAAACACAGAAACTACCAAATGAAAGTTTTAAATGCTCCCTCATGAACACCAAAACTTTTTTAATATTTTATTTTTATTTTTTTTTTACTGGTAAGCTTATGAAACCTGAAGTCGCATCATTTATACTTGTAATGATGTGAAAAACACTGGATGAGGCAGGGCATTGTTGGCCCTAATCTCAATGCATTGCATATGACAAATCAATACTGTACATACATTGACTTGATTCCCTCTCATTTCCATTGTGTGTGCTCAGGTGGTGGGCTCGTCTATGCAGCTGGTCGGCGATCACCAGGCGGAGGATCGCCAACTCATATCCGAAGTGGTCCTGGCAAAGATGACCCAGGCCCTTGCTGCCAAGACTTCTGCTGCTTCCCGCTCGCCCGCTCGTTCCCCTCAAGGCCAGAAGATGACCGCCACAACAGCGCCCGCACAGGTAGAGGAGGTGACCTTGCAGACGATTCAGTCCAAGAGTGACAGTTTTATTCCATTCCCATTGGCTCTTCCCCTCCCTCCCTGTTTCTCTCTGCCAGAGTGGCGCTGTTAAACACGGAGTGGCAGACGCTAGCAGAACCACAGGCCAGCGTCCTCAACCTCAAGGTTCTGTGAACACTTGCACTTGACAACAAAAATTATTTTACTTGCTGCTGTATTAATATTTAAAGAAAATCATTGGAAAATGCACTGATGTGTCAAAAGTGTTGAGTTTCCCAAAAAGTAGGTGTTATTTTTCAAAAATTACCGGTAAATCAGTTTTAGCCTGAATTGAATGTTGACCTCATTCAGATAACCTGGAGTGCAAATATATAGCATTAAAATAAATCAAATCATAAACTCCTCAGCACAGTCCACTTTTTCCGTTTCAGTTGACCTCACATTTTGTTTTTTGTTTTGTTTTTTGTATCAGAGCACTCTGTTCACTTTCTGCAGCGTCATGCGTAAATTGATTTTTGCTCATCTTCATTCGTCATCAGACTACATATAGACCATTGTTTCCAGAAACTCAATTTAATTTTCATGGAGATAAACATCCATAAGTGAAAAGACAAAATACATCAAATGTCTTTGTTTTATGTTGGCCAAGACTCGTCTTCATAATTAAAAGTGAAAACTGGAAGCCATTTTTGATGTGGTGTTTTGCTGTCCCCTTCTGGTGTCAGCTGGTGAAACGCTTTGGTGATAGATTTTTGTTTTTCTTAGAGAGAACAGTCATAATCATTCCAATGTGACTAAATGTAATGGTGTAAATGTAGCACAACTTGTGTAATTATTTCTCTGTCTATTTCTAGGTGCATCAGTCAAGGCACAGAGTCTGGAGTCATCATCAGAAGTACTGAAGAGATCTTCCGAGCCTCAATCAAAGGCTGCCCAGTCCCAAAAACCTTCTCCAGGTCAACCCCAGAAAACAGGTCAGGCCCAGAAGCCAAGCCCGGTCCAGAAGTCCGCCTCGGTCACAAAGCCTCCAGTGCAGAGGCCTCCCCCCATGACAAGAGCTCCCTCTGTCGCAAAACCCGCTCCAGATTCTGCTTCCTCCACCGCCGCACCGGCCAAAGGTTCGCCATCTTCCCCCGCTAAGTCGGCAGGTCCAGGCTCCCCTGCAGCCTCAACTGCTGCATCTCCTTCAGTTTCAGCCCCTACCACGGAACAGCCCAAGCCCCAGCCCCCGGGCTCCCCGGCCCAAGCTCCGGGAAAGCCAAAGGAGCTACCGTCTAAACCCACTCCGCCCGCCAAGCCCATCCCTCCTGTCCGCAGGAACTCCAAGCCGCAGCTGCAGCCAAAGCCCCAAACGCCGCCTGCTCCCAGAGCCTCACCCAAACCTCAGGCCGCCCCTCAAAACCCGGGGCCCGCTGAGGCCTCAGACGCTGCCTCGTCACCCGCCGCGGGGCAGGTCCAGTCACCAGCCAAAATCAGCGAGTCTCCGCCTAATGTGCAGTCTCCGGCCACGGCTCAGCCTCAGGCCAAGCCCGCCTCTCCATCCCAGAACCCTGAGCCTGAAACTGCCGCTGATCCTGCTGAGCCCCAAGAGGACCAGCAAGCGTCTCAGCCAAAATCCCATCCTCTGCTCAAGTAAGAGCCTTGTAGTCAGCACACTTGTGACCGTGCTCTGTCCTCTATTTAGTCTGACACATGAGCTAAACCGGCATGGCATTCAATAGGGTGCAGACCAACACCAAGGCCAGTCTTCAACATACTTGGCAGTACTGTTTACTTCACTACTCTAGATGGCAGTATTGTGCATGATTAGTGGGTGCCATACTGTGGCGCACAGCAAGCTTTTTCCCACCACAGCTCTATCTAACGGATCTCGTGGCTCACTGCTCCAATTTGGACCCAATGCAAGGCGTCAACACAGCTGAATTGGTTCTCCATCGACCTTATTGAGACAGCCCTTGACCTTTTGGCAAAAATCAAGTCATTGTTGTTGGTTTTTTTGCATAATTCACCTAATTAACCAACCACACTACAAACGATTAACACCCACTTTTTGAGCTTGGTGGAGGCCACAGTGGCACTAACATGACCTTCGCCAAAGTTTAGTTTCTTTATCTCTTTTTTTTTCAAAAATTAGTCTGCCTATCATGAAAGCTTTTTTTTTTTCTTTCAAGAAAAATCTTGCGGTCATAAATATATATCCGTGTTGTAGACCTGGCCAATATACTGTCCATAAATTATTGTGATTTTAGTCCTGCAACTTTATGATTTATTGTCCGACAATGCTGCAGCTATATTCCTGTAACATTGCACCTTTATTAGCTTAGCTTTACAACTTTTGCGTCTTGGCGTTAGACTTTATTCTCGTACGCTTTGGAATTTTTTCACACAGTGTTGTGACTTTATTCTTTGTGATATTATGATGGGGTTTTTGCCATGAGTTTTCAAGTTTTTTACTTTACATTCAAATTTTCTTCTCGTAGCATGATGAACTCATACTAGTGCTTCTCAGTATTTTTTTTCCTCAGCCCCCCAAGGAAGAAGAAAATATTTTGTTCTCCCTAACTGTCCTACGTGACTATAAATAGTATAATTTGTCAAAGAAATTGTAATAAGTACACCTCTGCATACCATTAAATAATTACTCAAATAAAAAAAGAAATATAGATCAACTTACGACAAAGAATAACTTTTTCTAACATGTTTTTTTAGTGTGTTACAAATTATTTGAAGTTTGCCTGAAATTAAAAAATAAATAACTGAATGAGTGCGCCACTGCCACCTAAAGTAGTGGATGTGCAATTACACTTTATGGGTTTTTTTTTCTCTGTACATCCAATTTTATTCCCAAAAATGTAAAGCTTTTTTTTCTTGCAGCAGTACGACATTAACCTTGTAAGATTACAAAAACATGCCTCAAACATTTTGGTCGTAACATTACAATTCTATTCCTGTAATCCGTACGACTTTTTCACACATTACAATTTTTGTTCATTGCATTTTGACTTATCCCTGTAACTTGTTTTTTATTTATGTATCTTTTTCCTTTGTTGAACGATGCCATACCTCCCCTCAAATTTCTTTCTAGTAATCAATCTTGCCAACACAGACAATTGATAAAGTCCTTGTCTGGGTTAACAAAATATGCTCGTGTAGTTCTAGAAGTTCCTATAGTCAAAGTCTCTACGTTTAATGTGACAATGTTTCCCAATGTCTGTCATCCTTCCTCTTCCCGTTCTTCCTATCTCCTGTCTCCCTTGTGTGCATCCTTTCCTCCCTTGACTCCTTCCCCATTCTCTCTCCCAGTAAGTCCCAGTCACTGACCAATGCCTTCAACGCCTTCAGCGACTCCTCCTTCTTCCGCGGCGTGTCCGGCTCCGGAGGCGGCGACGGCCAAGACGAGGCCAAGGCCGAGACCATTCGCAACATCCGGAAGTCCTTCGCCAGCCTTTTCTCTGACTAGACACCAACCTCTACCAACCTCCCGCCCTCTAATTACTTCCCTCTCCCACTCCTCATTGGCCAGCGACGGCTTGTTTGACATGTCAATGTGACACAGTCTGAGACGTATGTGTGTTTTCAATTTTAAGTGTACTGTACTGCCTTTGTCTGTCTGTCCTGCGTGTCAACATGTTTGTGCGTCTGTGCGAGTGAACAGTGACGCACTCTGGCTCGGATATTAAGTGCATGTCGCTGTGCCAGAGTAGGTGGAATGATGAGTTATGTCACTGATATTCCCTAGATAGCATAGCATAGCATATTACAGAATATAATGTTTATTTTCCCAAAGCACATTAAAGAAACAGAGCTATATGAAAGTATAATATACAATATTGACAGAATGTAAATAAAAGTATAGATGCAGTACACACACACACACACACACACACACACACACATATATATATATA